TCTTGTACTTCGCTAAGAACCTTCGAATTGTTGTGGGGGCACGTTTTAGCTTTTTGGCAACTTGCTTAGCACTCATTATGCTGATATAAGCAAGAACCATTCCTTTCTCTTTATCATCCATTTGTTTGCGTGGCATTTTCATTAAAAAAAAAATTATCTACGTCTTTGAGCTTGTTGTTTAAACGTAGAAGAAGCAAAAAATAAAAAAAATTGCCCCAAATTACATATGTATGGGGTAAACATAGCCTCTTTATTTGCTCATGTGAGATGATCTGCAAATCAGGCGTTACTTTTGTTGGTTACTGTATATGTGGCTAGTTGTATTCTTATTGTAAATTCTAAAAAAAATTGTAATACTTAATAAATTAGCAATAAAGTATTAACCGAATAGAGATCATTGTAAAAAAAATAAATAAATAAATATTAGCAAAAATTATAAAAAATAAAACTAAATCTTATTTTACCTTATAAGACTATTTACTATAATGAAGATTTCTACTTGCACCAGATATAATCATAAAAAATCTATTAGCAAATTTACAAGACTTGGAGTAGCAGACAAGATGAAACAATTTTGTATACTGTATATAATGAGTGTTACAGAAAAGAAAATGAATGCAAAAATACCAAAAAGAGACAGTTAGAATTTAAAAAAAATATTAAACAAGGAAATACTAAGCAAGAAAATAATGAACAGAAGAATGCTAATCAAGAAAATATTGACCAAGAAAATACTGCCCAAGAAGATACTGTTCAAGAAGATAAAAGTAGTTTAGAACTAATTAAGCCAACAAATCTTTGTAATTATTTTATCAAGCTTCTAAATACATACTCAATACAAATCGAAGATGATCCAGGAAATACGTCACTATTTTATATTCAGTATATTATAGATATATTGGTATAAAAGAAATTGTTAAAGAATTAATTGAGTTAATTGAAGATATAGACGAATTTTTATAAATATAAGTAATTTAAGTAATATTTATATAACTTACGAATTAAAGCTAGGGCAAAAAATTTTAGAAATGCTTATATTTTGTTCTGGTAGTAAATTTTTCACTAAAAACTTATCTTAAAATTTTTTAAATACTATGCTTTTGGCTATGCATATTATAAAAATATTTTGTCACATTAATTTTTGATATGAAATTGCTAAAAACATCCAATTTGCCAACACTTATTTTATTAAAAGCTATTTAATCAATAATTTACTATTAATATATATCTGCAACTAATAAATGCTAATTTTGATATTAGTTAAATAAGTTTTAGATAAAATAGGAAGTGAAAAAATAAGATCTATCTGAAATTGTTATATTATTTTATAGCTTAATATCAAAAGTCTACTTTGTCTAAATAAATAGTTTCTTCAATATATATATTTCTAAAAAAATATAAATATAATACTTATTCAATATTTATTTTATTTATTTGAAAGTTATCATCATATATAGAAAAGAAAATCTGCGGCTATATACTAGTACTTCTGTTTATAGTCAACCATTTTAATGGCTAAGCCAAGAAAACATGAAGATCCTACAAAACATCATAATAAGCCATCAATAGAGCGATTTAACTACCATAATATTGTTAAAATTACTATAGACTAACTAAATAATATTGCCAAATTAGTATTAAAACATAAACTAATACATGTGTTACTAGAAGATACTGTCATACTTTAGAGTATTAAAGAATATATCAAAGAAAATATTAACTTGCTACTATGAGAAATATATGCATAGCTTGTTGACAACAGTATAAATCCACTAATTTAGCAAAAGCAAATTTATTATTAGTAGTTAGAGTTAGAGCAGAATAGATATAAGCATCAGGATAATGCATTTGAATCAGCAATACAATGGCTCAAAGAAGGTCAATATAAAATTATCTTAGAGATATTATAGCCCATTCATGCTTTAGCCATAATGACAGGACTTCATGACTATTTATTACAAGCAAATATTAATATTTGTGAATATGGAATTAATACAACTTGTAAATAAAATATTAAATACCAAATTCATATTAACAAAATTAATTTTAAACTTATTAATACTTATGTTTTTTTAATTTTCAGACAATACAAATAACTTCAAAATGGAGCTTTATTGCTTTCAAGCTAAAGTAAAAAGTACAAGGTTTCTACTAGCTTATCTATTTCTAAAAAATATTGAAAGTGTAGTAAGGGAATCTGTATTTCTGTTATTCAAACCTTTTTAATGGAGCTATAAAATGAAGAAATTCAACTAGAATTTATATTTATAGATAAAGATTTTGCCAAATCAATACTGTATGCTTTACCTGGAATAAAGTTAAATGTAATATTGGGTGTACAAGTAGGAATTTGGTGCTGTTTAATTAATTGTATATAACTAAGACCAAAAAGTTTAATACCGTTAT